ATGAAATACTGGTTAAGTTGACTGCTGAAGTACGGAGCGCAGTAGAATAATACATAGTGACCAACTGGTTTCGACAAAGGTTGCGGATGTCAAGAGGACTTCTTCGTATAGTTTGAATACGTTGTCCGTTGTAATTTTCCGTGTTCTTTGGGTTGGCTAATAAGTCCATGACATCGTATCGAGTTGGATATGCTTCAACAGCATAAGAAGTCCTTGCTTTTATCCTTTGTCCTTCTGGTTTGTTTTGCTCGTATTCTCTTGCTAAGAAGTAATTTTCGAAGAATAGTTCCCCTGCGGGTAGCGTGATCACCTTCAGATCAACTACTTGTCCTGATGCCGGCAAACGATTGTTAAAACTCTGGATCTGTGCTTCATATAGACGTTGTTGCATTTGTAGCCCATCCATGATGTCCAAATAGAATATCCATCCATATTTCGTTCTCTGTACCTGCGTGTACTGAGCCATTCCTGTTGACTAATAATATTCTTGGACTCGGCAAGTCAATTTATATTCTTTTGCATGGGCCTTTGCTATGATCGTTCTGTTCCTCCTTCAGTCTCGGATTCTGTCTTGTCTGAACAGCTGCACCTCCTGTTCCCTTCCATCTAATTTTATTACAGTGTAAGACTTGATCTAGTAAGTGTCGAAGGGATGGCCAATTGGGGTAGGACATAAGCTCTCCAAATTGATATCCATTAGCATCGGTACACAGTTGGCGACATCTTCGTGTCTCGATAAGTCCAACGCCAGTAAGAGTTTTTTTCGTTATATTTGAGCAACAAAGTAATGTAAAGGAGTTTCGAAGAAGAGTTCTTCAGTTTCGGAGTATCCTCGTACTTGACTCATTTTTTTTTTGAGAAGTTCAGTAAAGGTTGTAATAGTAAATGGTTTGCTCACACGAGAAAAGAAATAAGTTCAAAGAGTAAAGATAGTACGCTTACGCGCAAAATAGTTGAATTAAGTTTTGAGTAAGTTAGTTTCTCTTAGGCAAAAGAAAAGATAAATTTAAGTGATAAACAGTAACTGAAATATAGAATGTTTACTGGAATTGAGGATGAAATCTAGTTCTTTCAAATGAAACAGCTGTTAATTGAGAATAGACTGAGAGACGAAGTAGTCCTCTTTAGGGATGAAATTTTTGTCTGGATGAAACAATTTGTTCCCTTTTACGGAATACTGATTCTCTTAGATTTAAATTCTGCAAATTGACGACTTATTTCCACTGGATAAAGTAAATCGATTGGTCTGACTATTTCTTTACCATTTCGTAATTTTAATTTTACTGATCTAATTAATTTGTCATCACTACTGCTTAGTTGTATTATTCTTGCTAATTTCCAGCAACCTCTGGTAGTATTCTCTTCTTTAATCAAGACAATATCTCCTACTCTAAGTACCTCTTCTGTTTTTACCCTAGGCATTTGTGAAGCATTTCTTGGTTCTCTCTCAAAATTAACAAGTATTCTTCGAACCAAAATCACCCAAATTGGTCAAGCAATCTTCCTGACTCCTCAAAATAATCTCTGAGTTCATCTCTCTCTCTGGGCGGGATATAAATTTTATCCTGTTCATCGTTGTCTATTGGTATAAATCCTAATTTTAGGCCAGGTTGCAAGAAATCTAAGGGTCTTGAGACTATGGAATTAGGTTTTTCATAAATAAAAGTTAAAGGCCTAGAGTTAATAACAGCTTCTATCTCAAAAGTAAGTGTGACAAACTCCTCCTGGTGTAATATACGTATCCTTATTGTTTTTTGCAAACAGTTCTTTACTAATCCTATTAATTTCTCATAAAAACCTCTTTTTCATGGGGCGTATTTTGTAATAAAATCCCATTGAATATTTTCATTTGAGAAATAATCTATATAGTCCTCACTCAAGTAAATATTCAGCCATACCTTATCTAAGCCCTTCTTTGCTAACTCAAAGGTAGTGGCATTATCACTTATGATTTTCAATGGCTTCCTCCTACGCGCTAGAAATCTTTTCGAGGCGTTTAAAAAAGTTTGAGTGGTTAGCTTACTTACTACTTCTAAGTGTATCGCGCGCGTTGTAATACTTGTGAAAAGACAGATCCAAGTTTTTATTTTTTCTTCAGTGGTATCTCTTTCAATAATTACTAGACCAAAGTAATCTAAGCCTATTATTTGAAATGCATTTGTTCTTATGCTACGGAAGGTGGGGAGCGGTGGCATGGGGGG